TCTTGTCATATCACTTTAAGTTTAAGTCAGCAGTTTGCAAATTAAATGAAATAAACATAAAACCTCACTATTATATCAGTAATATCAGTAACTGAAGAAAAAAAATACGGGCAATCTTGACAACATCGGACTACAAAAATGATGATAATAATGCATCCCGAAAGCGTCAATCAGTAATCGGCACATTTTGTAAAGTCATTAGCATGCAGAAAGTGTTAACAACAAAAAGCGAACAGTTATCACGGTGAGGCAAAATGGTCTTGTGGATAAAGTGATCACTTCACATGCAATGTACTCGGTTCGAGTCTCAGTTCTCCTTATATAAACCCATGTTATTTTTTTTTTCTTCACTCCATAATATTGACTTGTCATCTCTTTTTAAGGGGACAACCCCCCCCCCTCACAAAGAAAAATAGCATGTATTACTCTTTCTTTAACAAGCGACTCTCTGAATTAGTCAGAAAACATCTTTTGCTACATCTACAACAATTAGTGTAAGTATGAAGAATACATGAAGATTAGCAATGTGACACTTTAGTCTAGTGGGTAGCAATCGTCTGATAACTGGAAGGTATCGGGTTCGACCCCCAGCTGTTGCGTTTTTTTCTTTTGCTACATCTACAACAATAAGTATAGTATGAAAAAAACATGAGATTAGCAATGTGACACTTTCTTCTAGTGGGTAGGCAATCGCCTGGTAACTGGAGGTATCGGGTTCGACCCCCAGCTTTTGCGTTTTTTTCTTTTGCTACATCTACAACAATAAGTATAAGTATGAAAAAAAAACATGGAGATTAGCAATGTGACACTTTAGTCTAGTGGGTAGGCAATCGCCTGGTACTGGAAGGTATCGGGTTCGACACCCGCTGTTGCTTTTTTTTTTAATCTTTGAAAAAGAAAACTGATGTCAAACCCCATTTTGATCTCACTCAAAGTCCATATTTATTGCTATTCTCTTAATTGATCTATACAATGAGCTTGCAATTAACTTGTAAGCAAGGTAAAGTATTATATTTACGAAGTACAAGAAGGACAGGAATCCTGTTTTATCTATTTATCAAACATTATTACATCAATACTTTTTCAGTCCCCAATGAGAGAGAGAGAGAGAGAGAGAGAGAAGAGAAAGAGAGCCAGAAAGAGACAGTGAAGAGAACCAATACACCTCATCAGTGTAATAAAGTCTGATGATCTTAATCTACATACTTACTTCAATATTTTGCCGGGCAGATATTATTATTTATAAAAACAAACCAATTTTGGAGTTTTATAATAAATATTATTGTTGTTGTTGTTGTTGATGTAAAACAATGAGAAAATAGGGACCTTTTGCGGGGGGGGGGAGCAATGTAGGAAAAAAACTACAGGGGAGCCTTGGGATTTTATTTTGGGGGGGGGGGTGGGTATCGGCGCGGATTCAGGATTTCTTAGGGGGGCCCAAACTTGAAATCAATTTGAAATTTAATGTGCTGAATAAAAAAAAAATCGTGCCCGGCCGATATTTCACTCAGTGGTAGAGGGGGAAGGGGAAGGGGGGGGGGGGGTAGAGAGCACTATTTTTTTGTTTGGCCCTCGAAAATTTGAAAAATCACCCCCCCCCCCCCACATTAATCGCCAGGGGGGTCCCATCTAGACAGCTGCTGGCAATCGACAGCGCTGTCAATCGACAGCTAGCTGGCAATCGACAGCTAGCTGGCAATCGACAGCTAGCTGGCAATCGACAGCGTAGCCTGGCGGCGGTAGCGGGTAGCCCCAAAGCCATGTCCATTTAAAAACTGCATTCAAGAGCCTCTTATTGCTAGGTTTACAACGTTGTTTTACATTTGCAATTATAATTTCCTAGTTTTTATTCACTCTCTACAGTCCCGTACTATCCCTTTTTCAGTCTGTAAACAACTTTGCAACACGAAAACAATGATGAACAGGGTTTTACTTCTCGTATAAATTTATTAGAAGTGCCCTATGTCATTTTGCACGAAGTGATACAAAGGGCCTTTCAAATTTAAGTCTATTGAAAGCATTCCCCCACCTAGCCTGTATGACCGAGCAGAATCATTTAGTGCTCAACAATAAAAATCCACAGTCTTGGCTAAAGAGGTCCATTATTTGTTTGTTTATTTAGTTATTTTATTTAATTGACATTGTACAGTACTATTAAATATCAGGTATATTGGATGCTCTGTTTTAAATACAGTCAAGATTGCCGAGCAATGAATTACATCCTGCTTCTTGTCCTCAAACCATATCTTTCTGGTTTTTAAAACGGTATCATTTGAATTTCCATTTCCAAGCATTATTTTGAACTGTCCCGAAATTGTTTTCCTTTCTTGAAATCAGACTACAGTCCCAGTCCTAGACAAGGAAACAGAGCCTCTACATAATAGACTTCGTTCGTACGCCATTTGCTTTGAATATTCATTCATAGTATTTCGATAGCATTACGTCATCTTTCATACGCCTGTCCGGCATGCATTTCGAGGAACTTGTACTTTTCTATCGGTAGCGTACATAGAGATACATACTACTAAGCAAAGAGATTCGATCATACACAGTATGTCCTTCGTAGGAGGACTAGAGGGCCAACTAAAATCGTGACCTTTGACATTTCATAGGTTTTGCATTGGATGAATTATTGGGGTTTTGTCCGATTTGAACGACGGTTTTGGAGGGTCAATGAATATTCATGAGCAATGACGTAAAAAATACGCCAACTACTGTTCGTTGATTGGCCATCGACAAAATGTTTTATGTATTAGGTCATGCATAAAACATTTTTTTCATTCCCAGAATTCCCTACGATTTGAGCACGAAAATGGCGGTTGTATGAACTGCGACTTTCAAGTTATTCAATTACGAACAATGAAACATTTTTCTTTTAAGTGAATTTCTATTATAATAGAAGTTTGTCAAGTACATCTTAGTGAAGCAGAAAATCTTCAGGCGAACATTGACATCGAAGTGATACCCTATGATATCAAGAAAAGTAAGTAAAGATCCATTTTGTTTGAAGGTCTCTGAAATTATTGTGATGTGTTTCGTCATTGCAGTGAGCGGCTCCCCGCATTGTCACAACGTATTACCCGGTTAACCCCCTACCCCATCCTCTTTTCTTTCTTCTGACCAAAGAATATTAACTGATTGAATGAACTCTAATTTAAGTCATCGACGGTAATATTTTTAGAAACAATCAGGATTTTACCGTAGGTTATTTCATTAGAGCGCATCTCATAATTTTAAGTTCAGTTCATATCATAGCTTGATTACCGATAGTAATCGGTCGTAGATGTGGATCTGTTGTAGACTGCGCAAATGGCTCATTGCTAGTCCAAGCCGATGAGATCTCGTCGAGCAGAATGTGATTTTCAATCCGCCGGTGCTAGCCGGCTGAAACACCAAGAAGCGACTGCGTTTCCTGAGCTGGCGCGGCTATGACTTTACAGTGTGTTAGTGTTACAGTAAAGCCTAGATCTAGACTAGTATTCATAGCATATTCTAGCCTGAATTTTCTGTCTCTTTCGTTCGTTAGCCTCTGATTTGGGTAGGGTCGGCTCCTCTCTTTAGCCGACCCTACCCAAATCGGAGGCTAACGAACGAAAGAGACAGAAAATTCGGGCTATGCAGGCCTAACTTTAGATCTAGCAGTTGCACTGTCTTAAGTAGATCTAGAAGTCTATAGAATTCTAGACCTAAACAGCATTTAACCCCGAATCTAGTATAGATCTAGGCCTAGATCTAGGGCTAGATTCTAGGCCTAATGTACTCTAACAAAAAATTCTAAATAGATCTAAATGCCTGATGTAGATTTCCTCTAGATCTAGGTGGATCAATGTGGAAGTTTAATATGGGGGGGGGGGGGGGTGCACAATCATTCTGTGCCCCTTTTTAAGATGTGGCATAGCCATAGGGACGGGTCTAGATCTAGGTCCAGAGCCACTACTAATAATATTAAAAATAGGCAATAGATAGATCTAGATCTATAGCTTGTAGCAAAGACTTCCAAAGCCATGGGTCTAGGCTCGTTTTTGATTCACTAGACTAGACTAGTCGTGCACATGTGTCATTATTGTGATCCAGGTCCAGATTCAGCTTAGTTTGAATGTAGATCTAGGCTAGATCTACCAACGACAACAAAAACAAAACAAAAAAGGTGTCTCTCCCCCCCCCCCCCTCCCCACCTCCCACTTCCCCTGATTTCGCTCTTAGTTATGTCATTGTGCCTTGTTTGAAATAATTAGTTTATTTTCAGGATTTTATGCCACTCCTTAGTTTTATGTTGGTGAGAATTCTGGATCCAACCCTACATATGACATGGATATTTCTTTCTCTAAAGGACATGAACAAAGTTATAAACAGATAACTTATGCATGCATTATGATATTAGCAGGAACCTTACTAAGTTTCTGTTTTCTTTTAATTGTAGATGCTATGGAACAAGAAGCAGATAATGATCACAGAAGTGCAACAAAGAGCACCAGGACCTGATCAACAAATGTATCTAATCAGGAACAGGACACCTAAGACCTAAGTTGAACTTTGGCAAGGTATGTTTGTATGAAGTTCGAAAATATTCAGGCTGTATATATCTAAGCCCATGCGAACACCACACTCGACTTGGACTATATACAAAGATTTGGGGAACTGTCATCTTGTGTTGCATTATATCTTGTAATTCTCAATTATTCTCTAGCTTTTTATTTAGGTGACAAACTATGGTGTTGCTACAGTTTATTCTCTCAGCATATTAAAAGATGTACTCAAAGGTACTTTTCCTAAATATTACATTATATCTAACAAACTTTTGTTCACAAAAGTCTAGCAAATAATAACTTAAAATAAATTGGAAATTACTTTTAAAATAATTGGAAATACATTTAAACCTTTACTCTTCTCTTCAAAAAAGGCCCTATCAGATAGACATAAGTTTATCATTTTTTAATAAAATTAAAATGCAACACCACTTGTAATCTTTAGTATTAGTTCATCTTCGTGAAAGGCTACAACGCCTTTTGAAGATTACCAGAAGAATAAGAAGAAGATATATCGAGGATCATGAAAGTAATCATATCTTCTTTTAAATGCGTGTACATGGAATATAGTTTTTTGATATTTAATCTTAAGTCAAGTTCTGACAAAAATATTAGGGATGCTGTACTGGATAGTAAATTGAAGGGGGGGGGGGGTTATAAAATTATGTAGTTCAATAGTAATACTGTAGTAATATAATTATACACTGTCGCTCATAAAGTTGGAATATTTTTGTTTTACCCTAATTTATGGAATTATTTTAAATATAATTTAAAAATAATAGATCTAGATAATAATATACATTCTCAGATCTTATTTTTAAATTATTTATAAAATAATTCCATAAATTGGGGTAAAACAAAATATTCCAACTAATAGTAACAATAATGACAATGATCATGATAATAGTAGTAATAATAATGATAATACAGATAGTAGTAAAAACAACAACAATAATGTCCAATGTAAGATAAAGTACTCATAAAACTCAGTATATACCTGTTCTTTACATAATAAAATAGCATGTTGATATTATTGAATATTTTTTTCAAAATCTACAGTAAACTTTTACAACTGAAAAATTTGAATTCAAGAGACAGCCCCCCCCCCCCCCCCCCCATCCATTTGCCATCCTTTTGTTGATGTCATGTTGGATTTAAAAAGATCTTTATAGAAACAAAAAAAAAATAAAAAAAATAAATGAGTTCATAAATGTTAATAAATTAGTTGATACTGCTTAATTCTGTTCTTTTCATTTTCTTATTTTGTGAAATATATGTGATGATGCTGGTGATTATGATGATGTAGGCACTCTGTAATGATAATGCTGTATGACTGAGGTGAGATGGGGTCTGATGCAGTCTTGTGTAGAATTGAGTATGGTGTTCGACCTTTTGATGTTTGTTTATATCTGGTATCAGCGAGATAGATTTAACCATCTTTCCTAATGAGAGAAAGTGGAAATGTAACAAGAGAGTGGGCAAGACTAATGTATAAATACAGTATAAAAAATGGTTTACAATAAAGATGAGGGGGGGGGGTTTAAATAAAGAATAAGTCAATGCCAAAATGATGAAAGCATATAGGTAATTGGGGTGTGGATGGGGGAGGGAGGTTAATAGAGCCTATGGAAATGTCAATATTGGAAGGGGTCCCTGTATTGAAAATGTTACTGTTGGGGGGGGGGGGGCAAATTTCCCCAAAATCAGTGACGACGAATGCAAAAATTTAAATTTCATTGGGGATGGGGCACAATATGAGAACATTGAAGTCGAGGTGAGAATGATTCATTATTTGGACACTTAAAATATTAATATATCACTTGTTAAGTCGGCTAAATGATCAGTGCAGTTTTTCTGATTTAAAAACTATTTAAGTTAATAAACAAACAAAAAAAAGGGTAAAAATGAATTGAGGTACAACAGTGAAATGGGGTCATTATTTTTGCCTTTTAACTGAACTGAATTTTTAAAAATGTACTTTCCATCCTGGTGACAGTGAAGTTTGTGGCCCTAACTAAGTCAACCATTTAAAAGTTTATTACCCCCCCCCCCCCCCAACACACACACCTCCACAACTCTGCATGACCTTTGTTCTACATTTATCCGGCCCAATTATAGCCTTTAGTCAAGGCACTCGTGCTGTATTTCCCTAAACGCGCCTGAATACATAGACTAATCGCGCGACGACTGTGATCTGTGGGACGAGGTGCGTCAGCAGCTCGGCCTTTACTAACCTGAGTGGTTGTTGTAGTTTATTTCTTTTGTTTTGTATTATATTTCCGCTCCCGAATCAGGAGATAATTAGATGCAAAGTATCTTACCCAGAAAACCGGCCAAACCGCCCCTTCCAATCCGACGCACCAATCAGAGTAGACGATTCGAGAAAACTTCATGCATATTCATTATCAACATGTATAATCATAAATACATTTTTGAGCGGTTACAGAACGACGAAGGAGATCTCTTATCAAAGAGCCTTGAATATGCGGTCGAAAGGTTGAAATTATCATCTTTAAGGAGTTACAATCAAAAGCTATAAAATCAGCAGTGAAAGGGGAAGATGTATTTGTTAATCTTCCAACGGGTTATGGCAAATCTGCGATTTTCAAGCCATTTCACTGTGCAAGGACTTCTTTGTGCGGACGACCACAGTCGCTGCCAGCACACCATCCCCATCGGCGTCTACTCCCGAAGCTGCCCAGAGTTCGGGGGCCGGGAGGTACTACTCACACCGCACTGCACTGTCCATTGAAGTTATCGTTTCACCTCTTATTTCTTTAATGAAGGAATGTGAACCAAACTTGTCACACACAATAAAATGATATATTCAGTATAAGAAATAGCTAGGAAAACTCTTGCACAGGAACCATGCAGAATGTACTGCATAGAAGATATCTACCCTTTTTTGCACATCTATTACATTATAGACCTAAGCAGAATTACCAGAATTTGATGTCCTTTTCATTATTTTAATTCACTTGCATGCAGCTAGCTCAGCAGCTAGCCCTGCAAATTCAAAGCTCCATGAACGCATCGTTTTCACACGTACACAGATTCGAGTGTTGTACAATAACAATTCCGACCAGCTGATCGTGCGAACCACTATGCGTAGGTTAAAATGAAAAACAAGGGAACAAAATTTTACTATAAATCTACTAAAGTAGCAAAATAATAAATACCCTAGTCAATAAGTAGAATATTGTTTTTGATAAATTCATATTTTATTCGAAATTGAACTAGATATTATTTTATTTTTTTTAGTACATTTGAATACCGATTCCCCCACAATTTCATGGACGAAGCCATTTTAAACACCGCGCGGTTAAAACAATTAGGATTGGCCACGATCATCACTAGCTGCTGTATATGTAAGACCCTCATGCATATGCACATAATGATGAGCTCCGCAATTTAGCAAAGGCCAAGCCGCTGAAGCGGCTCGGTCCAGCGATCACTGCTGTAAAGCCACACTGCGTTAGTCTATTTTCAGACCCTGCTCGGCAGACAAGCAGCGCGCGAGGCCTTGTCCAAAGGCTAGCCCAATTAAGGATTATGTCGATATAGTAACGCATGCGCATTGTCTTTTTTTCATTGCGATAATATGCTAATAAGTGGAAAAGAGTCATGAATATTCAAAATTTTAATTTAAATATTTTGCGCGCTACGCGCAGTCCAAAATCCCCATTTCGCTGGTGCACTAAAAATTTGTCGTCTTCATAGGCTAATACATGAAAAGTGGAAGCAGTGTGCACTTTTGACCCTCCAAAATCTCCCCATGGCTAGACGGATGCAGAAGCGGAGTTGAACTAATATACTAAGTATATATCTCTATGGTAGCGTATGAACATGAATAAACATGATTATATGACGTCATGATACGTCATCTGCATTGCTCAACTTGCGCTGTGCACTGCACTGCGGTTCAGTAGCTTTGTAGCAGTCCTATGTATTTACTGAAATATGTTTCCTTGTCTAGAAGTTTAGTCATTGTTCTTAATCCAGCATTGCACAAGCCTATATATCCAAAAGATAATATGGAACTGTCAATGACTTCATAATTTGAATTTATAGAATTATTGATAGATATGACTATTGATATGTAACCCGTGGCATAGTGGCAGGGGAAACCACTTTTAAATTATTATGCCAGGGTTCAGGTTAATAATTATCAAAGAATTGACTGGCTTTACTCACATAGACCACCACACATTCTCACGTCTTATTTTGAGGTAAGTAGACTTTTAAATAATGGTCGATAGGAAGTATAATTATATTTACTTAATAGATTGAGTTCTAAAAGGGAATAATTTGTGAGCATTACTCATTCTATTATGCATAAGAACACCATTAGACATCAAAAGCATGGCTCTTCAATGCCTTCATATTCTAAATATGCTGTAACATCGTAAAATCTAACGTGTTCGTTAATATACATCTTTCTGTGCAAGTAATTTACCAGTTGGCCAATTTCTTATCATGATGATTCAACCTTGAACATTCATAGATGATCACTTTTCTGGTACATTTAAATGCAATCGCATGACCAGAACTCAACTTCATCTTTATACATGGTCAAAAATATATAATAACATTCATCATCATCAACAACAAATCAAACGGCAAAATCAATCTCATTTTAAATCTACTCACGGTACCGCTACTTAAATCAAGTGAGGGGGTGCGCGCGAGAGCTCTCTAAAAGTTCAACAACGAACTGGATCCGATTCGAAGTGCGATCGTGGTTGTCGTCCTCTGGATGTCCAGTTGCAACTCCCTAGCTACGTCCAGATGATTAGGCAATCACCACGAACACCGTCACTGCAACTTGTTGAATCAATGAAGTTCTGTCATTGACTTATGAAGTTTCGTTCAGCATTCTGTGGCCGTCAACACCCCTTTATATCGACTAGCGAAGAACGATGCTTTGTAGTTGTATTCTGATTTAGAGTCTTAGTGTTGCTCAGTAATCACAATGTTCCCATTCTGATTCCGCTTCGGA